GCTCAAGTCCGCTTCCAGATCCCGTCAGTTAGTCGTTCCGCAGTTCAGTCCGTCAGTCCGAGTCAAGTCGTCATCCGTCGTCGTGGCCGGTCCGTCGGTCCGTCGGTCCCGTCGAGTCCGTCAGGTTCCGTCAGGTCCCGTCAGTCCGTCAGTGCCGGTTCATTCGCCGGTCAGTGCGTCAGTCGTCAGTCCGTGGTCAGTCGCCGTCACGTCCGTCAGTCCTCAAGTGCCGATCATTGTCCCGTTCAGTCCCGTAGTTACCGCGTCAGTACGTCAGTGGCCGTCAGTCCGTCAGTCGCGTTCAGTCCGCGTCAGTCATCTGTCAGTCGTCAGTCCCGTCAGTCCCGTTCAGTAGTCTTCGTCAGTCCGTCCAGTGTGGCGTCATGTCCGAGTTCGTCCGGCTCGAGTGCCGTCGTCGACCGTCAGTCCCTCATATCCGCTCAGTCTTTCCGTCGTCGTCAGTCCGTCAGTCCGTCAGTCCGTCAGTTCCCGTCAGTATCGTCAGTCCGTCAGTTCGTCAGTCTCGTCAGTCGTCGTCCGTCCAAGTAGCCGTTAAGTATCCGTAGTGACCGAGCCGTCAACAGAAAAGAAGAAACGTCAGTCGTCCGGTCAGCCCGTTCGCAGTCCACCGTGTCAGTCGTCGTACGTGCAGTGCTCGTTCTGGTCGCGCACGTAGTTCCGTCAGTCCGTCAGTCCGTCAGTCCGTCTAAGTGCTGTCAGTCAGCCAGTCCGCCAGTGCGCCACGTCTTCCGCAGTTCTCCCGGCCCGTGCCGCAGTCCGTCAGTTCCGTCAGTGCTGCGGCGTCGCAGGTGTCCCGGTCAGTCCGGTCAGGGTCGTTCAGTAGCCGGGATCAGTAACCCGTTATGGGCCTAGTGGACCGTCAAGTCGGTTCAGTCTCCGTGCTAGTCCGTTTGACGTCCGGTCAGGGTATGGCGCCGGTTTCACGTCCGTCAGTCCGTCTTCACCGGTAGAGGGATGAGGAGTCGGGGTCCCGTCGCAGGTCCGTTCAAGTGTCAAGTCCGTCAGCTGGCCGTTCAGGAGTGTTTGCCGAAGTGCGTCAGTCCGGTCAGCGGTGGGGCGCGGGCGGTCCAGTTCAGTAGATCCGTCGCAGTGCAGTCAGTTCGTCAGTGTCCGTCAGTCCCGTATGCACTGGTCCGTCATGTTGCCGTCTCCAGTCGCGGTCAGTTCGTCAGCCGTCAGTCGGTCATAGTCTCCGCAGTACCGTCATCGGGCTGCTCCGTCAGTGTCAGTCCGTCAGTCCGTCAAGACAGTGCGGTCAGTTCGGACGTATCAGTCCGGGTCATCAGTGCCGTATCCGGTCGACAGTGGTCCGTCAGTCCGCTCAGTATCCGTCAGTAAGTCTCCGTCAGGTCCCTGTCAGTCGTAGTCCGTGCAGTCCGCGCCGTTGTTCAGTCCGTCAGTTCCGTCAGTCCGTCAGTTGTCCCGTCCGTCATGTTTCCGGGTTCAGGGTCCGAGATTTCAGTCCGTACGAGTCGCGAGCGGTCCGTCACAGCTCCGTAGTGCCGGCCGTCAGCTTTCCGCGTTGAATCGTGATCCAGTCCGTGATCAAGTCGGTCATTCCTCAGTCGCGTCAGGTCCCGAGACTGCAGGGTTCTCCGTCAGTCCGTACAGTCCGTCAGTCGTCAATGCGCTCAGTTCCGGGTCAGTCCGTTCAATAGTCGGTCGGTCGGTCGGTCGGTCGGTCGGTCGGTCGGTCGGTCGGTCGGTCGGTCGGTCGGTCAGGCCGTCTGTGAGTGTGTCCGTCTGTCCCAATAGTGCCTAAACAATACATATGATTTTTGCAAAATGGAATCGGTGGATGTGCTGCCGATGCTGGAGGTATTTTGATAACATTTAAGTGTTAAGTCTATTTTTTGTTCCTGCCATTAAAAATATTAGACATGATGTGGGTAGTTAAATGTACGGGTAAAGGTATTTAAAACTTTAAAAATTCATTACACTGCTAGTATCTACATTCGATACCGACACAAAAGAAATTAAAAGTTTCATTTATAACCCAATTCAATCAATACTTCGTTTAGTTGGCAATGTATCAATACACATGCGATGTTAACAATTCTCGAAAAATCTATCGCGATAAAGAGGATTTTTCCTGTTTACCATTAAATTTGGATATTCAACGTCTTTATCCAACGACTCCCATACTATTTCCTTCTCTCCTTCTCTTACGAACATACTTCAATTATATGTTCATGCACATTGAGGGGTATGCCTTCCACATCAAATTTGACTGAATGACAACTATCATTTATTATATTACTAATTTGGTTATTTAAAATTTCCGAAACACTGGACGAACCGGAAGTCAAAAAAAAAAGAAAGTTGAGTAATATATTTGTAATTTTTATATTACCAGAAATGTCATAGTGAAAAATTTAAATGGTTTCTCAATTGAAATTAAAAGATATCGTCGTTGCACAACAAAATTAGCAAACCTAAAAAATAATCATTTTGCAAAAAATTGGTTTTTATTTTAGCTAAATCGTTTATTTCGAGTCCAAAGAGAAAGTGTATATATCAACTCCATATATAGACTGATTTGTAATAAATCGTGATGTTGTTTTCACTATGAAGATTATACTATTTTTTAAACGTATTTATTCACTTAACTAGAAATTGACGACTTTTGAGAAAGGGAATTTCCCTTGCACAATTGCGATATATATCAAAACCTTCTACAATTATCATTAAGAAAGTATCGAACTAGTGAAGTTCTGAATGAGTTTCCTTATCTTTTCATCCGGATAATTCATTACTTTTAGTTTGATGTTATTAATTGTTTATTTTGTTTAATGATTTATGATACCACAATAATCGCCGTAAATATACTCAAACCCATTTTGCAAGCATTTTTTCGTGTGATCTTTGTGATATTATATTATATTTCACATTCATTCTGTCATTTTTACATTTCAGGTGCGAGGATTGGTTTTGTTAGCGGCTCTGGCGGTTCTGGTTGCTGTGGTCTTTGCCTTTCCTCAGCGAGAGGAAAGTAAGTAACCGTCGGTCAGCGATTTAACTTTCGACTTTTCAGGAAGTAACATTTACATGCAGCCATTCGAATCAATTTCGGAAGATCAGCAAACTATAGTTCGTGAGTTTTAATAGTGCTGCTTAGGATTGTTCATTTAGGTTTAGTATTGACTGCATACTATGTAGGATTATGGGGTGGCATTATTTAAACCAGAGGATTGCAAAAGCAACTGCAATGTTTTATATCTATATCGTAAAGATGTTACGGCTAAATTCCGAATCTGTATAATTCCCGAATTATCCGGATAACGTTCACATTCTCCAAAATGGGTCAATAAGCCGGAGGTAGAAACAAGAAGATTATATTGACTATTCCACTCATGGAGTTTATTAGCGTTTTAGAATTCGGCAAACGTCAACAAATCGCGGCTGACATTTACCGCGAATATTTGAAATTATTGCGATTGTCACTTACCACCTCCCTACCAGGTAGTTACGAGTTGGAGTAAATTTGTTCTTTTGTTTCGACTGGGATTATTTCATACGCTATTGGCATTCATTGTGTTTCTAGTTTAGGCAATAAGGAACAAAATATTCATTTTACAGGAATCCCAGCAGGCAATTGTTCGCCTTACAGAATTTCACGATTTTCTCTTGATTATTCGCGCATTCCAACATCGGTTCATAAACCTTTCCGTCTAGATATTCTTGGTTGTTCTTTACCAGCGCTCGTTAGTAATATGACTAATTCGTACTAATGGAATATTGCCGTAATGGTAGCGTTTATTGTAGCGGTGGTAGAGTTGAGTCTACAAATTCTGTGTGTGTTCTGTCTTGTGTGTGTTTTAATACCCCATTTCTCTGTGGGATGCTTTTTCAGGCACTAGAATACAATGTGGCTACAGTACTTGCGGAAGAAACTCCTACTGTGGGAGAGTAAACGGCTTTGACGCTTGCGTTTGTAACCAGGGATTCTACGGGTCTGCATACGGCGAGGGATGTACATCTGAACCAGAATGCACGGGTAAGTGTACAATCAAGTATTACGAGTACAGGTACATATATTCGGTATATGAGATTGGGACTCTCAAACCATACGTAAGTCGAATATTAGTATGCCGAAAAGGGTAGCCCTGGGCATCGACTGATATTACTGCAGTGCCTCTCACCGGAAATCCTAGGTTCCAGTCCCGACGGTGGCAGGATTTTCGACACTAGCTAGACAGCAAGGTCGAATTCAGCAGCTGTATGAAGGAGAATTCTAGCGGTCGGCTGCTCTGATCGTTAGTTTAACGTGTTTTCTCCGCTCAATACCAGACAAATTCTAGTACCCTTACAAACGGGCCACAAACCGGTCTTTCCTTTATTTTCCTTGTCATATCCTCACCCATTACTTTCACACACTTACACATACATGCTCTACACTGCCACAAATGCCGGGAGACCGGTCGCGAGCTTAGAGCTTGAGCTGGCTGGGGCGGTGCCCCACTGATGGGAGATACCTGATTGGGGAAAACCTCCATAGCCGACGAGCAGGACGGCACCGGATCTCATCATCCAGAGGGGGAGATCACCGCCACCTCACGAGGATAAAACGTGCACTACACTTACGGTACTAAAGACCTTAGTAATATATATATATATATGTATATATATGTATATATATGTATATATATGTATATATATGTATATATATGTATATATATGTATATATATGTATATATATGTATATATATGTATATATGTATGTATGTATATGTATATATATATGTATATATATATATATGTATATGTATATATATATGTATATATATATGTATATATGTATATATATGCCCAAAACCACTAATAAATCAATCAATCAATCTCTCCGACGGCTCGAGCAAATTCGGGTTCCTTCTTTCCTTCATCCGCTAACCACGTTTTCCGGCCTGGGAATCAAGCAAACGCCACGTGATTAATTTTCAGAGGGACGCTCTTTTACAAAAGAATGAAATAAATTTATAAGCGGGGCGCTATGCTACAATGTACATGGTTATCCGGGTGAAGTATTTTTTTAAATGAGCAGAGTTTCTCTTTTCGTTTACGCACGTGCAGCTGTAAGGCGAATATAGCGATAAATATTGTTTGAAGAATCACCTCTTTTCCCATTTGTAACCTAAATCCGTATTTCATCTCCAACCTCAATATCACAATTTTTTATTTTTATTAGGACGTTATTCAAGTTTGGATCTCCTTTGAACACTCCTTTTTTGTTTATTCTTACGAACATGAGAAAACTTCTTTTTGTACCATAAGCCTAAGAAGGTGCATTCCCGATATAATACATAACTGAAATCCGCCTCTCCAAGTCAATTAGGAATTAATAATGGAGGCGAATATGTGAGATGTGTAAACGTTTGCCTTTACCCTAGCGGGACGATCTCGAAGTGTAAGCAGTTATAACTTAGGTGGAATTCGAAAGCGCAATCAATACCCGTAGGACGTTCGTGATGGGGTCAATCCATCCGCCATCTTTTGCAGTGGTGGAGGCATGAGGTGAAGGCTCCCCAGAAAGAGAAATTGAGCTACAAAAGGAATTACCCAAATTTACTCTTTCATCGACTCCTCTTAACAGAATTGTTTGCTTCATCGACCCCCTCTTACGTTTCTCTACAAAATACAGCGTTCATAATCAAGACACAAAGAATTGTACGTAAATGATTTGAATATAAAAATTGTGTACACCAATATTTTAGTAAATATCTCAATTGTCAATAGTTGGAAAGGCATTCTCGTTTGAGTAGCTGAGTTTCTAAACTTCATTTTAATGCAATGGTTACTAAATGTTGAGTTTTTTAAGAACTAGACAAAACATTTCTCGAGAGATTATTGAACTTTCTTGCGCAATAGGGAATCGTGAATTCGTAGCATATACTTCTTGCTTCTTGCGTTTCCGAAACCTCCTAGCTCTTCTCCTAAGAATGGACAACGGACACGATTAAAGAGGAGGGAATTTGTAAATTATTATTATACGTTTTTTTGGCTTTCTATCAGAAAAATTAATTAATTTAATTTTTTAAATGAATGGAATCTTGAGTATACCGATCAGGCACCGGTTCAAAATCCTGCTATTGAATCCCAATTAATTTCTTGATCATCGTTTACCCCTTCAATATTTCATCAGTCCCGGAGGGTCTATACCGACCCCGTTGGGAACACCTTAGCTACAAGAAGGGTATCTCTTCCCCTGCGTTATTTTTCGACCATGCGCAATGCTGCTGCTTTTGATGTTGCCGAGCTTCAACTATATTACTTTTGAAAAACAAATAATTTAGGTCAAATGATATGTCTTGACCTTTTGTTTTTGTACAAACAATTTTAATAGACAAATACGGAGGATTGTTTTTCATTAGTCCCACTTCCGCTGGTCCCTATATTTGATTGCGATGAACATAAATTGTGATGAAGTCAGTTGACAAGATGCTCAGATGAAATTATAGAGATCTCTGTGTGAAGAAGATTGTGACCATCATTTACCCTGTGCATTGTGTGGTAATCATCTGATTTGAAACCTTGTAATTGTAAATACATAGTTACAGCAGATAATGTATTTCGACCATATTTCTGTTTAACAGATAACTCCGGATGTAGTGATGACCACTTCTGTGATGACCAAAATCTTTGTGCCCATGCCTGCTCACAGTGTCCAGCTGACGTAGGTTGCAACGCGAGCAACCACACAGGAAACTGCATATACAGTGGGGCCCTTTTTTTCGATCCCCCAAGAGAAGAATAAGAAATTATCTGTGGTTGTGGGAGAGTCAAGGGAAAAGTTAGCTTCAGAAAGAATAATGCTTAGTTGAGTGTGATTGATTATATTTGTGAATGGAAAAATAAATGCATTAAATCATGAATTTACATGAATTGTCTTGATTTGATTGTGACTAATTAGATTGGAATTACTTCACAAATTAAAATGTTGTTTGTTAAAGGGTTTACATTTAAGATAATTACCACATGAAGAGATTTAAGTGCTTATTTATTGATTACTTTACACCTTTTAACATTACTTATAAGCCTTCTAAAGCTACACTCATAAGTTTGCTTGACACCAAAACGTGTAAATGATTGATCTATTTTTGTCAAATAAAATACAAATTTTCAATATTTTCTTTGCAGGTTCATGTCATTGTTTACCTTTATTATACGTGTAAGTTAACGAAGGTAATTAAACAAATAAAATATATTTAATGATATTGATTTGTGTGCTCAAATCTGGGAAAACAGTTTAATGAAGCTAGCACGCTGAGGTTAGTATTAAACTAGTGGCTCCAGCATAAACAATGATGTTGAACAAAACCACACAAAATTATTTTCCAAAAAGTAACACGCAGACTGTTCAACAACAGCAAATAAAATTCGCTCGTAAAATATTACAAAATGTGAAATATTTTCACAAAAAGACAATCTTCAGAAGCATTGCATCAACATAGTCTATATAAATAAAAATGGGTGTTGGTACATACCAGCGTGATGAACTACAACACAGTTTGACCGACCTCCATGAAACTTGGTACATCTACGTGTTTTTTATAGAGAAGGATTTTTTGCTGTCCATTTCGTTGTAACTCCATTAGATAGCGCTGCAGAATAAGGCAGCGCTACAGTGTAATTCAATTTCCATTCCAACTGAGCTTCAACTGGGCTTCATTGTTGCTGAGCGTTGCCGTGTGACGCAGGGTGAGAGGCCGAGGAGGACAGGCGGCGAGAGAGAGAGAGAGAGAGAGAGAGAGAGAGAGAGAGAGA